CAGTTCGAGACTCCCAGGAGTTTCGTGAGATGTACTCTGCTGAGGATTTCAAATAAGGATAAAACACCTTTAAAGGGCTTCTTAGCTTTCACAATAGACTGGCTTAACTTACAGAAATAATTCTCTGTTAAAATTCCACAATTTCACACTACCAACAACCTGTAAAATCCCTATTTTAGTATATTATACGGCGATGCAAACGAGATATACTGAAGAATTATCAGTTAGTATCATTCGGTGAAAGGAGAAGCATAGGTACGCCTACTACGAACGAACACAGGAATTCGCATGCTGAGACTTTTCAAATATTCTTTTTTAGTCAATATAATCATCATTGCAGTAAACGTGGCAATTAAAACAGATCCAAATTGAACATCTGTCACTGGCACCAGTGACTGTAACACAGTGGTGTACACGGGTTCCTCGTTGCCGTACATCCATGTTGATTGATTTGAATAAAGCCCCATAATGAAAAGTATAGCAGGGCAAGAGATATAGGGCTAGTCGATCAAAAACGTCAGAAGTGTCTACACCTCTAACAATCATTCAGACAGTCTGGAAAGAAGCTGACATCATTACCGCCGATTAGTTACCATATCGTTCAGTGGCTCCAGCCCAACAAGACAGGGTCATGGGAATCTCACTCTAGAAGGCGTCCAACCTGGTTGTTGGTCTGTTCGATCACCTTGGTGGTTGGATTGTAAACATGTTACTACCATCAAGGTGAAATGGTCAGTGCACTGATATACCAGCGTCTAAAAATTTTCCTAGTATCCTTCAATCGCTTCCACCACGTCATACTCCGTCTGCCACTCCGACTGTCTTTTTGACGCAGCCAGTGGCTTAGATTGGCAAAAGCAATTCTGGCCTTTCAAATCCGTGCACTCATCTCGTGTCACTACTCACATATTCTAGAACTTCCAGTGTCACTGCTTTAACTCTCATAGGCATGTTCGAAAACTGTGGGCTCTCGTAGCACGAGCTTACACTTTGAAGTACATACCGGAGAGCTAGATGACAGTAGTCAGCTTTTCTCTACGCTTCCTGCTCTTTTGCAAGTGAGAAAAATGTAGTGGGCATATCCCAGGACAAGGTTCTCACTCGCAGAGGATTCAGCTCAGGAGTTTTGAGACCTCCCAGAGTTCGCCTCATTAAACAAAAGTTTAGTGGACACACCTTCTATAGAAGCTTTTGGAAAGCCCTCATGCAATCATAAGCACGTGAATAAAACAGAGCATGACACCCATGAACTTCTCGGCATACTTTGTCGCGCAAGCGTGAAAAAAAGAACCGATCGGCCCGCCCCTGATATCACAAAATACCAAGATTGCAGGGCTCCTATACGCAGGCCATTGCTTTAAAACTCGACAATGTGAAGATGTGGTCTTAACAACCCCTCTCCAGCCAGAATTCTTCTTGCTACATTCTCAGAACGTCAAATGAGGGACGACAAGTATGGATGTACGGTGGGTCAAGCTGGTTCTTCTTTGGGAACCGCACTTAGTGCATGTACCTGTTTTGAAAACGGGCACCACTATCGACTCATTCAAATTGTTTCGGACGATTTCCCTCACCATGATAGAGGCCAACGTTTTACACGAGCGCCAAATGAAGAGTTTACCGATTCAATGACACCTGAAGCTAGGTCATCATAGTTTCTCTGCTAATTATTCTGATTCCTGTTACCGTTGCAGGTTCACAATACCACGCTGCCTAATGAAATAAGCAATCAAAAGAATGTGACGCAAACGGACGTTGAGCCAAGCCAGCATGAGGTATGGTTTAGTTCAGTTCAGTTACTACTCTATACTTGATTTTGATGACTCTCGTAGCGTCAGTTGCCGACAATCGTCAACCTCCAATTGTTTCGTTCGACACCATAATGAATACAGCCGCAACCAAGTCCTAGTTACGACAGCTGAGTAAGTTCACTACCAACTCGCAAAAGATATGGGCTCATACGGTTGACGGCTACTTTAAGCTATCGAGCAAAAACAATAGAATTCACCACAGGCCACGTTTTGCTATACCACGTTGACTGTTGGAGAACAGTCAGATGATTCTTCCAAAATTTCCCTGAACTTCGTGGATCGTCCAATGAGTTTCACACGTTCATGATTGAGGTTAGAATTAGAGCACTTCTTACGACGCGCCTAGTGTTATTCCAACAGTGATTAATCCAAGCACTTTTCATTTAACTTTAGGAAGCCCAAGGACCACCGGAAATGGTCTGAAAAAAAGTTGTGATCACGTTTTCTCCGTACTGTGTTTGACGCTTTGAAACAAACTCCGGATACAGAAAATGCTCACTTTTTTACGTTTCACGAACGTGTTTCACACTCTTCTCCAATAAAAACACTGAACAAGACCTTTTTGTGATTGATGAGATTTCTTGGAGAGTTGTAAAGTCCACCTTGTAAGTAACACACTGTTGCGTGCGAGCCCACTGTTTACTGACCGCACTGATCGGTAAACTGGCATAATGCTGCACTTTGCAAACCGTACTTCCACACACAACCAAATGGTTCACGTACAGATTTTTCATCTAGTCCAGCCTTGGTTGGGATTCTCCATTCGGTGTATCACAAAACATGCCAAGGTGAACAAATATCTATACTTCATGCTAACAGGCGAGTCCAAATGGGGACGCAACGGGTAGCGGACTCTTTCTCAGAGCTAACGACATCCTACACTCATTTCCTAGATGTCAGCTCACATTCCAGAACAAAGATCTACGGCATTCGGCCAATAAACGACAATGGCAGAATTCGAGTCGTCCACTGATAATCAAAACCCATCATTCCTTTTGGAAGACCTACACTCCATCCACTGCCCTGTTATGTCATGGTGTGATCTGACTTCCCCTCTCCGAGCCCTTTTGGATCAGACGGCACCTTCGTCTTAAATTTCACGTCTATGACTGGGTAATTATCAGATCGTCGGTGAGAAACGTTGACCGATCAGACAAAGACATTCTAACCATTCACCGGTTATCAGGAAAACGTCTGAATTGGTGCACAGCTGAGTACACCAAAAAAGCAACACAAATCAAAACTCGTAGACGAACATGATACAGTCAATCAAGGGGTTGTTTATCTGAAGTCCCCATGCCAATGTGATATGTGCCGGTATTTTTCAAATGACTTAGTAGGAAGTCAGGTGTCCCGATATGAATGTTAAGATGTGAACAACGTGAGGCATGAAGCCCGATTTGTTGCACAGGTCCACGTGACATCCAAGGTCGATGAGGAAAAGACCTGCATTATTAAAAAGCCTCTCAAAATACATGGTCTACTGTTTATTGAAAATCGTATTAAGGCACTGCTGCGATGACTGTCTGGAAACATTTACACAGTCCCAAGATTTTCTAATTTCTTTTACCATTGACGTGGCTACCTTGATGCGGTACAAAGATTGCGGACCTAGCTGTTGGCCGGAGAAAATAACTGCACTTTTAACTACCGGAAAATTCGTAGTTGAACATGCGTAGCCCCCCCCCCCCCAAAAAAAAAACATCAGTTGCACCAGAAAACTTGTCCCCGGATTTGTTCTTGAATAGTTTCGAGAACCAAACCATTCAGATGTAGCATTATCTTGCCACTATGACAAATGCCTTCGGACGGTACAAAATAACATCACTCTTTTAAATCCAAGAAACCTATCTACAAGACAGAAGAGAAGTGGAGAGTAGAAAAGGTGCAAAACGGGCCGTTCATAAAATGGGGGAAGTTTCTGTCACTTGGTTGCTTATAGGCTCAACGGTACAAATGGCCTCTGTTAGCTGTAGCAGTGGATTGCGTAGAAAACTTCGATGTAGATTGGCAATTTGGCGTAGGGTTGGGAAAACGTCCCTGGGTACCTGAGAACCAAATAAAAACAACGGAAATTACTGCAGAGATAGGTTGCAAGGTTTCAAAATGGAACCTCTGAAAACAGACCGACTCGAGAACATTAAAGAAAGATGATTTGATCACACTACTTCGTCCGACCGGTGAAAGGAAATGGGATCGAACCTAACGACTAAAATTTCAAACTTACGAATTCGGATACTACGCTATTAGTTTAAACCGCCTGGATTCGAACGATTAAGACACAGAATGAGTAACGCTAGGACAGCAACCTTCAGCGGCGTTGACGGAACATTGATGGACTCGCAAGTGCTTTGGTCATACCTGTCGAAGCTAGAAGGACGATAGAAGAGAATAAGCTCCAAATGCTTTTATTGCATTGTGTTATCGAACGAAGACAAATAAGTTGGTGAACAATAGGGAAGTCGATTCGTGGTGTACGGGGCAGTATTTAACAAGTCCTACATCAAGACACCTGACAATCGCATCGAACCGCACGGCTCTGATGAAAATAGAGTAAATTGACGTGACCAGACCAGAGCAACCGAACATTTGTTGTCAAGTAGCGCTACAATGGACGGCTCCTAGGACTTGGTACAGTAGATGGTGTTTCGGTCGTTAAAATACAGGAGTATCATAGGCAAAAATAAAAACCAATCGCATTGAACCTGTTATTAATCACTGACTATTTTCCATGGATTTGCAACAGACTAACAGTTTAACGTAGTGTAACATCAAAACTCGATGTTTTTTTCAGATTTAGTAGAAGGGATCTAGACAGCGATCACAGGTCAAAAAGCTAAGAACTACTCAAAAGCATGAAGAACCTGCAAAAATGGACGGATAGGATGATATACAATTCTACGCACTCAAGGGGCGGTTCTGACCTGACGAGAAGGCATTGGATATTCAAGTTGTAACCAATGTCAGACACACGTTCGTCACCAAAGAGGTGCGAAATAATGAATAATGAGTGGATCCCAACAGAGTCATTATTACCGGTACCACAAAAGGGAGTTCACTTATACCAGGGATTCCCTTTTCGGAAATGTCTTTTTAGGAGGTTATTGATTGAGAATGTTAAACCGATGGAGGTGAATAACTAACGGGACACGAAAGAAGAAATCAGCACTAGATAAAAAACACTCACCAAAGCTGCATGATTCCGCAAGACGTAAATCACTAGATTCGCGAATTGGACGGATGTATGTAGCTCTTCACTAATTGTCAACTGTGTGTCGAAAGCATGAATAACCAAACGTATCACGTCCTCATTAAACAGAGAACAAATGAATGTCTCCTTTAGCTGGAAAGTCAAAGACATCAAAATACGGAAGCTATACAGATTTTTCGTACACACATCTGATACTAGCGTAACGGTGGATACTACTGATGACGCAAGTGAGTAGTATGTGGTTTTCCTAAGAATCCGCTTCGCATCTACTGAAAAGTGGGATTTACTTCGGAATTTGTGGAATCGCTTTGTAGCATTCGTTTACGTTTGAGTGGTAGTCAGTGAGTATCAAGAAAAGTTCAAGAAGACGCATTCGAAATGACGGGTATCCAGTTTTAATAAACAAGATGCATATGAGAGTTTGCTCCCCTGTCCAATAATCTGTAACTGTTCAGTTGGTGTTTTCCGATAAATAACTCCGCAACGATGGCCTTCTTCCTTTCCTTTGTAATAAAATAAGTGGCGCTGACACTCCACTTTTAGCCAGAATGAAATGACCGCTTTCACCTTCCAAAAACAGAGTCAACTAATTACGTTCCAGGCACCGCCAACAAATTGCAAGCTAGTACCATAAACCTAAGTGAGCAGTGAGGAACCAACGAATCGGACGAATCAGAACTACGTTTGCTGAGTATCACTGAAAACCCAGGAGAAAAGTGACGTGTGATAACTAGAGAGGCTCACAATGTTCCACGGGGATGAAGGCCAGTTAATTCGAACCAGTCTTGTGACGCTGACCAAGCAGCTGGAGGTCGAATCCATTCCTAAGGGTCAGCCTGAGATTGCATGGCGTCTGTGTAGTACAGACGATGAGATTAAGCTGTGGCTTGTGGTATCTGCGACACGAAATTCGGACAGTTGTGCTTACTTACTATAAACAGTAGGTGCGAACAAGGCGGAGTGAAACAAACACCGAACTTCTCAATGACTGAAGTCCCTGAAATTCATTCAGACTAGTATGGAGGTTAAACAGCACAAAGTATAGTATCGTCCGCTCACACCCAGTGTGCACTGATTCTACAGTGGACAATGGCATCGCGAACTGAGTGGAACAATTTGAGGAATGCTGGTTACCGGTTTCCCGAGCACACTACAGTACACTGTCCCAGAACCTCTATCTTATTGTTGAGAGAAACTTGGAAAGAGAATCACCTCTTTCACATAGAACCCTAAATGTCATACTACACGGTCCTCACCGGGTTTCGGTTTCTCATAATGTTGGTAACATGAACCATAAAATTTTGCTGCATCAAAGTGACCCTGACAGACCATATGTTAATACAGGCAGCGCAAGGTAACGACATTTGAGAAATAGAACAGTTTCGGTGGCCGTGGAGTCCCTCCGGACTGATAAAACTAGCCGGTTTCCGAAAAAATGTCACATCCGCGACGTAAGCAACAAACACACTGGACTTACTCGATTAAGCATGGCTTGTAGAACTCTATATAGGTCGGTTGGCCAAAGTGCCTGACGAACGCATAGAACCCTGTCAAGGACGTAATATGGACGTGAATCTACTGCGCGTTTTCAAAAATCTTTCAAATAGCGCAAGATCTCACAGAAGGCTAAAGAGTTCAGATTAAGCGGGAATGGTTTTTTAAACCCTGCTCTGTTAAAAGGTGGCAAAATGAAAAAAAAGTGAGTCGGAAAAGCTTCGTAAATGTTTTTTGCAGGCACAATCCATAACTGAATGCTGAGAACAAAGTTTATTTTCTATGATTACTCCATCTTGATTAATCCTGCAGGTGTTTACGTTCAACTAAACAGAAACCACGTAGATGGTTGGATATACTCACAACCAAGTGAAATAAGGAAGAAAGGGTTCACAGGTCAGAGGGTCGGGAATTCAGACGGACTGCGTCACCGCCCAATCAAGTGGTGAACGCAGGTCAAGAGGTCGCATAAGTTAATTTTGAACACAATCGAGAACACATTAAAACGCAAAATCTTTGTTTCTGTATGTTCCAAAAACAAAATATTTGCGTTGATATCCCCACGCACAGCGCTCGGTTTCATGAATAAAACTATTCCCTTTTCTTCATAAGGTTGCTGAAAACACATCAGAAACGAGGGATTCAGTTGGGTTCCAAGTGACTCTCTCGAAAAACCAACTTAGTTTGCAAATGAGGGTACTTCGCTAATTTTGTGCAATTTGGTTTCACGTAGAGCATAAGGTTGACGGAAACTCGGGGACTGCGCCTACTTGATGAGCACCAGAAAGGACGAACCAGGTCGTGGGCTTTCGACGGATTTTCAGCAACCTTATGAGTAGTACATTACAAAGATATACATGTATCACGATGTCCCGAATATCGTAGCGACTGAAACATGAGGCGGGCTAGTGCAGCGCATTCAGCTGCCTGTAAACAGCACAAAGGAGAGGTTCAGCTGGGTTTTAGTTGCGTCACTCACAAAACCAAATTAGTTTGCAAATGAGTGTATTTCGCTAGTTCCCTTTTGCATTTTTTTCACAGACATGCAGTACCGCGGTACCGTCATAGCCTGGCAAACATCAAATGGTTATGGTGATTTTGACAAAACAACGAGATTATCACAAAACAATAAACGTCTCAGTCTAACAATCGATTCGGGACGTACAATTCTTCCAGAAATATTTTATTGCCAGTTATGGAAGAATAATCCAGCAAGGAAAATGCCAATAGCAAATCCTCTGAAAATAATGAATTTGGTTATTTTATTCTCGGAAGTGGTGAACAGATGGACAAAGACACTGCCGATAAGCAAAGGAATGGCTTCTCGTGGACTGAACTAATTCGCTATGTGGTATATCACACCGAAATGGTTGACATACCGCAATAGTTTGAGATGAGACTCCGGTTCCGCCGTCTCCAGTAAATTTAAAGCAAAATCTGCATAAGCACTCCCTGCGCGGAAAGGTAGTAGAGAAAATGGATAAAGAGGAGAGCGTACAATGAAACCAAAAGAGCTGTCCAATGATTCATATTTTATAAAAATAGGAACTAAACCGATAAATGTCCGAATCCGGTTTGATTCATACCGAACAGTCATCTGGGTATTTCACAGTGAAACCAACGGAAGTTAACGTAAGCCAACGTCAAGTGGTCAGCAAGTTTTATTCACCAGTGCAGATGAAGAATTGGGCACTGCAAGCAAACGGTCACCTGATATAGGCTGCTAACGACGCAGTCAGGAGCCGAACCAATCACAGCCATGTGAGTTCGAACAACCTTTGTAGGAATTAAAAAGGTATCTAGGGACCTGCGAATCAAGCGCATGTTCCTAAACTGGTTCACAAGTAAATAGCAAGTTTTGTGTAAGCACTCCGTCGCCTTACTGTTCACGCAACTGCAATTCATAGTTTTGGTGATGCCCATACAAAGTGAGCAGCAACCGAAATCGTTTCAAAACTTACCCACACTAAGGCATATGTATTATGAAAGTAAGTGCTAACTGTCTAGTTTTGATAGAAATTGGCGATTGCATCCCTCGGATAAAACAAAGTAAAGGCTAGAAATGCTAATTTTAGCTTATATACATGTTCGAACTGAAGGATCTTGAGGCTCTGTGAAGTTTCCCCTGCGTAGTGCCGTATCCCTCCATTCAAAGTTGCACAAAGTTACCTCGGGATTTCATGAAGGTAATAAGTAGGCGATTTTCTCAAATCTGCGTGCTGTCTATATTTTTTAGCAGCGTCGTGGCTAAGCCAGTAAACATCCGATTCTGAAGAGAAATATCGTGAAACTGTATGTGGTGTTGAAATTCATTTCTCCAGCCAAAACAGACACGGCTCAAACTCCTTATAACACTAATTTGTTCTGAGAAATGTGTATCAATAACCGGCACTGATAGTCAAATGAATTAAACATGGCTAATTCTCCAGATGCGCCGCTCGAAATCCAGGAGAGCAAAAAACCTCTCAGATCTAACACCTTCCGGTGCCTAGCTGCCTGCTACCCGAAGGAAGCGTGAGGGCAGGGATACTGCCAGGTTGCCTAATCCTAGACAGGGGAAGTGGAGTGGTAGATGTCAGGTTCGGACCACGGACCTTCCGGTCAGTAAATTCGCGCTCTAACCACTTGAACCATCTCGCCCCTTCTGGCGAGAGAGTAAAGGGTATCCGATTATTAGTAAGCATTACAAAACTAAGTATTTTTGAGGAGCTTTTTGTGAATTGTTTGTCTGCTTATTTCCGACGACGCGTAAGACGGTTTTGGAAGGCACCCTCGATCCCAGCTATCAGAGGATAATGCTACCACTTCAAACTTGCCCGTCCATCAGTAGTATGTTTGGGAAATCATCTGACTGTCTTATTCATCCATGATCTTGACAATCGCATCAACTGACCTACATGACTCAGTTCCAATCAGCACATTCAAAATTCATTGGACCAGAAATACAGTTCTCCAGTATGGTAACAAGGTTGAAGCAGTGAGGATTTCTTCTGCAACAGGTATACCATAGCGAAATTAGACAGCGAAAGCGGAACCCGGTAACCAGCGGAATACCTACTTGCTCCTGGCAGTGAAGAGTATAGGAAGTTCGGAAATGACTTTGTGGAAGCATGAGGGCTCTGTGAGAGAGAGCAGTACGACCACGAATAACCTAGGCATGGCATGAGCAAACTAAAAAGAAAAGTAGAACTCTCAAGCAGGAAAGTCGGTGCGAAAAATTTTCCTCAGTATATTTGATGTCAAAATTTATGGTTCCAATATAGTAGGATGATTCAACGGAGTGTGGATCAAGACGTTGCAGCTTCGAATATAGCTAGTAACCTTAATCAAGTTTGACCTCACTGACCAACAGATTTTTCCGATACAGGCACAAGAAAACCATTTAGGAAAAGGTAGAAGTAGTCCAAAACTGAAATGCCAAATGCGAAACTAAACCCTCAAATCAGCTTGCATTTTCACTAACCAGTGACAAGTAGTATCGTGGGCAAAAGGGAATCAAAAACAAAGTTCTTGCCGTTGGATGAATCTAGTAATCCTGAGATAGCACCAGCAAGGGAGTGTGGTAAAGCGTTTCGTGAGTTGCACAGCTAAAAAAGATGAAAAGGAAACAGCTGCCTTTAAAACATCCTTGTTATACCTCAAGCAGGCAATAGGTCCTGTGGTTTGGGTTCAGGCCCAGCTGGGTGAAAGCAGAAGGATGTGTAAACACCTTCAGGGATTTTTTAATGAAAATTTCGTCTTGTAAGTGGAGTAAGTCTATACTGGAAAGTCACGAAGCACAGTGCTTCTGGGCATGGTGCTTCTCAGTATAGACTGGCTTCGCTTACAGCAAATCTCCCTTAGAAACCACCTCACACTATCTAAAAAACCACAAGAACCTCAGAGAATGAATAAAATGCACCCAATAAATGAAAATCTTGCCTGAAAAATCGTCCTTCAAGAAGTCAGTCAACACGTGACCATGTTATGTGGATTTCACGACTGAAAGATGAGTAGCGCTAAGCCCTGTCTAGGAGTAAGCCAATGAGCCGACAACGGCCACAGTGGTAATCGTTTAAACAATTACGCGGGAAATCGCCGGGTATAGGATCGTGAGATGCGCACTGCTCATGATATTTCATAAGGATGATACGGTTGTACGGTACTTTCCGGCTTTTCAACATAGATTGGCTTCACTTACAGGATAATACCCCCACTAAAAGTCCAAAATCTCCTCCCAGCACCGTCGACCATGGAGATCAAGACAATTCTTGTGATAGGACGGCGGATGGAAGAGTAGATTCAAAATGAGACTTTAAATCATGTGTTAAGGGACTGTCAGGAAGTAGTAAAGTACTATCAACTCCAGTTAACCAGTGTAGTTAAACGTGGAGTCCAGTATAGAAGCTGTAGAGTAAGACACAGTATCAAATTTCCCTCGTATCCGTAGGGCTCGCGGTTGTGCAGTGTGAGAACAACAACCCACGGTGCACAGCAAAGCAAAAAATGACGGCTATTCAGTATAGACAGTTAAAACACCCTTTATTTCGGGGAGAGAATAACTTACATAGACATGCAAACTCTGTTCGACAAGAAATACGATGAAAGATGGTACATTGTCCGAGGTGAGCTTGTTCAGAAGTTTTGAGATTACTAGCTGAAAGGCAGAATCGTCCTTGTTTCGCATTTCGGTTGACATGAGTTCTCTTAACTGGTATTGTGGAAGAAATAGATGAACCGGGTTAGTAGCATAGAAATAAGAGATAACCGAATATAGCAAAACCACTAACGTAATGAGATCAGACATTAACATCAGAGAAACGTAGGTCAAATGGGGTCAAACAAAAACAAACAAGTATCAAGCGACTAACAATTTTGTATCTCTATCGGCGGCCACTGATTCTCGCTTGCTGTACAATGACGTTATATCACACAGTAGCTCTTGAAATGTGTGCGAATAGATTCGGGTTAGAAGTAACCAGAAATAGCGTTTCAACTTTATTATAGTCGCTAAAATCGACAGAGAATACTATAAACTACTACAGCGGCCCACCAAAAACAGCTATACTTTTGTTCATACCTTGCGTTGCACTACGAACCTTATAACCCTCCGTTGAACACATACCAGAACAAAACCTTCTGGATATTTGAGTGGACCAATCGTGAATTAGAAAGGAATAGAACTGAGATGGATTACAGCCTTTTTAACCCTAATGTACTACGCCCTCAGGAAACAGCACACAAGGCGATCGTGTCCTTTCCCATTGCGCTGTAAAACTAAGTGTAAGGCCAAAAAATGAAAGATAGTACTGCGAAAGGAAAGAAACAGACCTTGTCTACATCAACCGAGGAAGAATCGATCCTAGAAGGCGACAGATTGAGTGACTCATCTGACCCTTGTAAGAATGCTTTGAAGACATCCCACAGGCGCTGAATGAAGAAATGAAACGATTCGAAATTTATTATCAGCTAACGTACAGGCATAACAATTATGATTCAACAGCATCCACACAAAATGCACAAACTAAGGCGGCAAGCATAAAACAGCACGGTTATATGAAGCTCCGAAAAACTTCGGAAATTTGTTTGTCTTAAAGAAGTGGTCGCTATAGAAGACAGATGATTACAGTAGTCCGTCTCTAGTGCGCCCTCCATCCCAAACAGGGTTTCACTCAAGGCGAATATCGCGGCGGCAACAAATAGCAGGACGAAGCCAACATATCAGTTTCTAGGGTGACACTTCAACTTACCTCGGTGGAACTAACTTCTGAATCTACCGGGTCCCCAGCACCTATAAATGACATAAATAATGAGGAAGAATAGAAACATCAGGTGGAAATAGGCGAATCACACAGCTCACTGGGCAAGTATCTGTGCATCCTTGGGGCAGTGGTGCTATTACAGTTGCATTCTTCTCACGAAAAGGAAAGCCTGTCGCCTTACACTGGATGTACGACAATGCTGTGCAATCACGTGTGACCTAAGCTGATACCAGAGATTATTGGCGACGGACGCCAACTGGACGAGGTTAGGACTATTATGGTAGGCACCAGATTCGCCTTGGTAACAGCTGATCTTGCGGACTGTACCTTTGTACGTAAGATGACCGATGGCTGAGATCACGACAGTTCAGTTCGGTGACCACTCATGCAGAACGACTCAACTTGCATGGGGGTTTTGATGGTACCAAAAAAGAATAACGCACCCACATCAGTTTTTGACAATCGTACAAGGATACTCTGAGAATGACTCATTAATATGATGGCCCTCCTTTTGTAACACCCGAAATACAACACACACACACACCTCATGAGGACCAAGTCTACCGATCACGGACAATAAAGCTTCCTTAAAATACTACTGCGTGCAATTGCGCCGAAGATTCTCGTTTAGTTTCATAGTGTCTGATAATGAACTACGTCCCACCTTTGATAATCCAACCACACTCGCTAGTGTGTAGTCAGGGTGTTGCGCTCCTGAAAAGAACTCATTCGTTCAAATATTACATAGCAAGTTCAACGAGTGAAAACACATTTCATCGTAATTCCTGGATTCCTGATGTGCGCATAAAATCTCAAGTCTTCAACTGAGAATCAGTAAAATGAATGCTGGTATCAGTGTAGAGTAGAACAAAACCATCATCGATAGTTTGAATGTATGGTATGGTATGAATGCATGAATGGACAAAACTATTACCAGCCAAAACATGTGATGTGCGGGTTGCTAGTCTGGAACAGAGCAGTGAAATTTTCGAGAGTTGTTTTTTAGATGGATCATAGATTATCCTGTCTTTCGGGGAAAGATGGTAGGTAATGTCCATGAGGGTGACTTCTCTTTAGAGTATTCAAGTGTAGCAGTTTACATCACTATGGCTTTAAGGATGACTTTTTTATGATCATTTGTCTACCGTTCACGTGATATATGTGAAATTACGGGTGATGATGTCGCACACTGCACACTAATGGTGAGGTGAAACGTTTTAGAGCCACCGGACTGCGGAAAAATCCACACATTCGTCAATGAATGGAACAAACCTGGCTAATCTCCGAACTTACCTGCGTTTCCCCTGTTAGGCTGAGCTTTCCTTTGGTATCAAACTTAACAGCTTTCCAAATGCTATTAGCCAACTCAAATGTGCTTTGACCTAAACATGGACAACGGGGTCCCTCCAGGAGAATAACCCATATTTGAAGAGTTGTGTTTTCGAGGGTTGAAAGTTATGTTTGGAAACCTCAACTACGTTTAAAAAACAGATGTGTGTACTGTGAGCAGTCATGAACCTATATGGTGAGTACCGCCGCCCAAGCTTATAGGCGCCTGTGGTTCGCCTATGGAAGCCCCTGGGTTTGTGGTACCAGTTTGTGATCTTCCTTTTTTATCCTTCCTGCATTCGTTTGCTACTTATATCAGGGACCCTTTGCCGAATGACGAACAATGCGGATTACGTGGATCGCACCCGACCATGAAAGGCGTCCAATCTGGGAGACTCTGAAGAAACTAAACTCGCCTAAGATGGCTCAGACCGGTGGTGCATATAAGCGCACATTACATCAGGCCCTCAACTTCGCCAACTAGCTATTTGCAGTACAGGCTGTTGACATGACTCCTTGTGGGAATATAGCAAGCTGCATTGTGTGTTGATGTCCCATCAGATAGGCCAACATGTGTCACCAGATTGCCTGTCTACATTGTTTCCGGAACCTAATGGTATATAGGCCTCTGCAATCATCTTACTCTGATCACCGTCCCACTACGTGCACTGACTAAGTTGCCATAAATAATGAGTTGTTCGGGTCGATGCCGAGACAATGGTCATTCTGCCGAGACTAACCGAAGCTCAGTCGTAATCTTCAGTTTGATCAGTGCTGGACAAGCACTATCGTCCGCCCTCTCGAGGGAAAGCTAATGAACAAACATTTCCAAGATTTTATGCCAACCGTAACCAACTACGCTCGAAAAATTACTAGTATTAATCCTACCAATAAAGCCTCCAAGGTATGTGAAATTACGGGTGATGATGTCGCACACTGCACACTAATGGTGAGGTGAAACGTTTTAGAGCCACCGGACTGCGGAAAAATCCACACATTCGTCAATGAATGGAACAAACCTGGCTAATCTCCGAACTTACCTGCGTTTCCCCTGTTAGGCTGAGCTTTCCTTTGGTATCAAACTTAACAGCTTTCCAAATGCTATTAGCCAACTCAAATGTGCTTTGACCTAAACATGGACAACGGGGTCCCTCCAGGAGAATAACCCATATTTGAAGAGTTGTGTTTTCGAGGGTTGAAAGTTATGTTTGGAAACCTCAACTACGTTTAAAAAACAGATGTGTGTACTGTGAGCAGTCATGAACCTATATGGTGAGTACCGCCGCCCAAGCTTATAGGCGCCTGTGGTTCGCCTATGGAAGCCCCTGGGTTTGTGGTACCAGTTTGTGATCTTCCTTTTTTATCCTTCCTGCATTCGTTTGCTACTTATATCAGGGACCCTTTGCCGAATGACGAACAATGCGGATTACGTGGATCGCACCCGACCATGAAAGGCGTCCAATCTGGGAGACTCTGAAGAAACTAAACTCGCCTAAGATGGCTCAGACCGGTGGTGCATATAAGCGCACATTACATCAGGCCCTCAACTTCGCCAACTAGCTATTTGCAGTACAGGCTGTTGACATGACTCCTTGTGGGAATATAGCAAGCTGCATTGTGTGTTGATGTCCCATCAGATAGGCCAACATGTGTCACCAGATTGCCTGTCTACATTGTTTCCGGAACCTAATGGTATATAGGCCTCTGCAATCATCTTACTCTGATCACCGTCCCACTACGTGCACTGACTAAGTTGCCATAAATAATGAGTTGTTCGGGTCGATGCCGAGACAATGGTCATTCTGCCGAGACTAACCGAAGCTCAGTCGTAATCTTCAGTTTGATCAGTGCTGGACAAGCACTATCGTCCGCCCTCTCGAGGGAAAGCTAATGAACAAACATTTCCAAGATTTTATGCCAACCGTAACCAACTACGCTCGAAAAATTACTAGTATTAATCCTACCAATAAAACCTCCAAGGCTGTGTAGCCGATTTAGGGCGTAGTCTCGCGACAGAAGCAACCACACCTATAGAGTAGGCATCTGTAGCTGGTGGTATAACAGTCCATGCTAACTCATCTCTCTCTTGCAGGTAAATCAGGAGTGACCACATCGCCCCAAGAAACCGCTGACCACTCCATCGTGGAACATCCGAACAATGCTGAATCCAGCTGATTATTAGGTTAACCGTCTTTCTCAGACTTAACGCTATCCATGTGCTTGTATCACCAACACGCTAATTCGCCCCGGACGGAAGCACATCGCCATATGGACACACGCAGTGGCCACTCTACTCTATTGAACTATTTTAACGTTCACCAATGAGACTTTCGGGAGTCGTGCATCACACGAGTGAAGCGATGTGCTAACTGTGGAAGAAACAACCAAGTTATTCCAAAGAAGTTCAAAATCCAGCTCTATAAGCCAGCTACACCAACTGCATCGATGAGCGCATAAAAATTGACACAACCAGTCTCGAAGACCTGAAATCCAGGTTGATTTATTATCATCAACTAGCCTCTGCAATGACAGTCTTGAATCCATCTTGCCAGTTGACAGAAAAGTGGAATAAACTGAAGCACCAGGTGACAAAGAAAGCAATCAGAAAGATTAGGTAACTGTGTTCGAAAGGTTCTGACTAGTTTGCGGCATTATTGAGCACCCAAAACAACTGATGGAAAGAGAAGACAAGGCACTTGCCAAAACTATTGTCCGGTAGTTATAACATGGTCGAAGTGACTAGACTAGCGAAGAGGAAAGACAAGGGCAAAGGAAAATCAGTTGAGGAACAAATGCTTGTATCGCAAATGTTTGAGTATGGTGGTCCGACTATGGCCAACTGACCAACATCATCAAGCAGAAAGAATGTTATACCGCAGTTCAAAGATGCTATGGTCAAGCGACTTTGTAAATCAAAAGGAAACAAGACTCTACCTGACAATCACAAAACCATCAGTCCATTGGGCGGCGCAGGAAAGCTCCTGGCACTGACCACTCAACCACCTGACATCCCCCAAAAATAATGTGATTTTCTTGCTCATCACATCATAATAAACCTGATATTTGCTGCAGGACAGCTCCCATAGAAAACAGCAACTTCAGAAGGCCTTCGATTGAGTCACTAAATATAAGCTGTTCGCCAAAATTTGTCAGTCTCCTCCGCAGCGAACAAAACAGGATGAGAGTAGAGCTGCAAACGAATGGATTAACTTCGAATAATTTCGAAATTTTCACTGATGCAAACTAGTGGTTCGTCCTCGCCTCAGCCCTCTTCACTACCTATGTAAAAGCCACTGTGCAAGGGGCCTTCGTAAAGGACGACGCTGGTGTACAGGTGGATATCAGCTTGATGGGCTTCTGTTCAATGGTAGATGAGTTAGTGCGGAGAACCTGGTATTCATTTCCACGTTTGCGGGCGATCGCGAATCGCTCTCGCAAAGGTTTTATGAGCTACTGCGTCTGCCCGAGAAGTTTCCGACTACGGCTGTATATTGTGGCGCGTGCGTCACTTCGAAAACCTGTTATGCACAAGCCTGTGACACACTGGATTGAACGAGCGTCGGACATGGACGCTCTCCAAAGGGCACACTGTGATCATGATCCCGTTCATACGCTAGAAAGTGCTTGCCGAACGAAGGGAGGAGGGACAATGAAGTAACTTCTTTATGGTCAGCTGAATAGGAAAAAAGCTAATTCGACAGGCAAAAGCTTCGATGTGAACAACTTGATCGAAACCATCAGCGTTGCTGAAGTTGGCCTCGTGGGGCGGAAGTCCAAAACAGGATGGTAAGCATTCCATCAATTCAACGACCGTTACTTCGAGCCAGAAGGATGAAGTGTGCAAAACGCAAGGATGCTGTTGCATCTGGATATAGAACAAATTGTATCTGGATGTTCGGGGGGTGGTAACCCTAAAACGGTACCACACATAATTCTCGGTAACCATCGGTGTACAGCTCAAGCTAAATAATAGTCAAGATTAGCTATCCACAGCTATGTGTGCCTTGAGTACGTCGCGCCACCACCTTTCACATACGCTGTGGTCCCAACAACGCATTTGCGCCAACCTGAATAACCCACTATGGGCTATCAGTTTGGTATGATGATGGATCTAAAACTGCCCGCTCCCATGTTATTTAGGGTTCACGCTGAGTATAGGTATTCAGTTGAATCCATGTACATCTCAGCGCAAACCTGATGTGACTGCGTGCAGACATCTGACGAACCGATCGGCAAGCAGCTGTACGACTACCATGCACGCATCTGAGAATGTGAGCAGGACCGTTCGGAAAAAGTTATCTGTTCGGCTGGTTTACCCGACTTCTCCGCACAACCGTTCCAGTGTAGTAATCTTGTGAGTGCTGCACAATCATTACTCAGAGAGTACCACAAATTTCACTGAGAATGCAAAGTTCATGAGAAACGTCTGATGCTTCAACTTCAATTCAATCCCTAGTGATGTCTAAGTGATTTGCTTCAAACTACGTTGTCGCTTATTGTCAAATAAAGCGTCCGCATCCCAATTTGATTTTACCACTGTGCACAATAACGTGGGACAGGCATGTGTCTGTTGAGAACGAATACGGTAAGATATTGTCACTAATTTGCATATCAACTTGGTTTTGATTGGAGACTCATCTGGAACCCAGCTGAATCTCTCGTTTATGATGCTGTTTCATCACTCATCTGGATTTGCTAAACGAACCTACTGTTCACCAAAAACCGTTCTACCCATCGCGCAGAAAGTTTGCATTACCGAGGGCAACACCGATACAGTAAAAAGAGGGAAAGTAAAACCACGTACGCGATGGTTCTCCCGCCTCGATCGTCTGGGTTGTCTGACGTTGTAAGTCAAGGAGTCGCATCAGGTAGGAATATCGATCAGAAGGTTCTAAAATAGGAACCATCGGAAAAAATGCAATTGGGAGACCATCCTGACTCTACTACCAAGTAGTCAAAAAATAAACAACGAAACTGATACTGGGCATGGATTGTTGATTAAACTGTATACCGGAAAGAAGGCTGAAGAAAACTACCACCACTCGCAATATCAAGCACAATACAAGGAACTTCCCAATGCAACATCAGAACACGAGCATCTCCTTGTTGTTAGAAAATGTTCCGAAATAAACGATCAACCGAAATATACAATGAGATAAACACTCAACCGCCCATTATTATTGCAAAAGTGGAGCAGATGGTTTTAATTCCAGCATTCATGAGAAAGACCCAACTAGAAAAACATCGATCGAGTCGATTCATCGGTGAACTACGAACACCACACACAAGCGTGAAAAACTTGACCTAATGCACAACAATCCATCAGTTTCTCGCACTAGGATGAGGCATTTTTGGAAGCCCCTACATTGAACCACCAGGAACTTATATTGCACAAGAAGTGCTGACGAAACCGACAAAACAGCATTCAATTATCCCTCCTGTTCACACAGACGGCAGAAATGCTAGTCCACAGCTTATTACCAAGTGCGCATAATGCCTTAACACGATCCTCCTCAAAAACTTTTAATTTCTAACAAACCGCTAATCATTGAAGAATATCAAAAACCTTAGAGTACGCACAAAGCCGAATCCTGCGACTTTAGCATGAATCCATATGAACTCTTCCGCAAAATAAGCAGGTTCCGTGAATAAGTGAAAAACCAGACAAGCCGCAAGTACTTAAGTTGATACGTAATATATTTACCGTAGTTGCCGTGCCACAAATAAGCAATATAAATCTTCCGTTGGCAAGAATATCGGGCAAACGACAATTTACACCTAACATTTGAACGCTCAGAACCCGGTCAGTTCAGTCACCGTTAGCCGATTATCGCTCCTCTGAAGTGCTGAGGATGGCTGAGATCCGATGGTGTTTAATGAATGTTTGTGTAGTTCAGCATACAAGCTCCCAAAGGATGAGGTTGTTAAATGAAATATTACGTAATCACAAAGAGTTCTGCTCCTGTTAATTGATCCACCGCAGTTCGAGGTCATTGGCTTGAAAATGGTCAATAGAACTGACTGAATGCTGTGAATCACATTCCTCCAAAATGTGATCCCAGTGGTTTTCACTAGTGAGAGCTAATGATGATGCATGCAGCTGATGCCTGTCATTTTCGTTAGTATTTCTGGACTAATTTGTTTCACAGGAGTTTAAGCTGCCAAAAGGTAGTAATGAATATGGGTGGTCAACCGTGTGGTGCTCTGAGTTAGTGGACTGTCATTCGATGGCAGGAACCTCGAAATGCAGGTGGTAAGTTCCAGGCCAACAACACAACCCTGTTTGTACATCTACTTAACAAGACTACTCGAAACGAAATCTACGGTGTGGTCATGTAGCAGCCAAGATCAGTGGGGTCATTTTGTTTAGAGAGAATGGTGATCATATTTAGCCAGAAATCAAACCAAACTTACTGGAACACCACGGATGTCCAGCCATATGTGTGACGACTTCAGCCCCCATAGAAATGGCACAGTAAGCATGAAAGAAAACAGTTCCAGTTGAGTAACAGAACAACCTGAAACTAAATTAAAGTGGACATATTAACGTGATTTTGTGTGTGCAAAGTCGAAATGGTTACTTCAGTCTTGTGATGCTTGTTCAGTTGTGGGGATCACACAGTCAGATTCAGTTTTTAAACCGTCAGTCATTCACTTATCGCTGTCTTTGAGTGGCAATGGAAACACGGAAAACTATGGGAAAGAATAAAGCTGAATTCGGCTAAATACGGAACGAGATGCGTCAAGTGGTCAGAGCGCGAATTTACTGACAGGAAGGTCCGTGGTTCAAACCTGACCTCTGCATCCCTACTTCCCCTGTCTAGACTTGGGCAATCTGGCACCATCCCAGCCCTCATGCTTCCTCCTAGTTGCAGGCACTTAGGCACCAAAAGGGTGCTACAGCTGAACGATTTTTTGGTTAAATAAAGGAATCAAAATGCTGCCAGTGGTCTAATATCAATGACTCCAGACCTAAGGATGTCACCTTGTTGTGGTGGTCGAGAATCTGTGCTGCAACGCCCATCGGCTCTCCCACTGGAGCTCAGTTCTTAAGGTCTGTCCGAAGCTTGGTTGGAGAGAAGCCCGACAAAAACGGAGACCTGCAACGCCCATCGGCTCTCCCACTGGAGCTCAGTTCTTAAGGTCTGTCCGGAAGCTCGATGGAGAGCAGCCCGACAAAGAACAGAGTCCCCACACTACGAGTAATCGTTCCACGCGAGTGTGAAGAGTGGGGGGTAAAGTCGTACTGGCTTCTGCGATAGAAGTGTGAAGACGGTAAGGCGTTTCCCACGGGTGACCAGCACGCCAATATTTGTGGAAGCAGCTATGCTGCCTTCCCCCGAAAGAGGGCGGGTTAGAAAAGGTCGTCCCTAATAACCACACACTCCGTTCATCCAACGGTTGACCGTGACCGCCGGTGCATTATTCAACACGGTCGAAGTACTTTCCAAACCAAAAAGTCTGGTGCTGCTCAAGAGGCACAAAATGTGCATAGCTGCACTAAAGGTGGGGCAGTGATGCCTTACTCGCCGCGCCCTCGGGCCAGACCGGCCCCCTGTAGCCAACTTGGTCAGACTATTGAGTTATTGGCTTCAGGAAGGGTCCCCAAGAAAGCCCTAACAACCGCTGTCTCGCGGCCCAGATAATGAAATCCAATCAACTTACCTGCCAATCCCCTAGCCACAATTCCGTGACTAAACATTAGCCCAGAAACATAAACCAAAATAATTACCTACTAACCTTAAAAGATCTGATCCACGTTGCAGCCTTTAATGTCCGTACTCTGTGTCAGATTGGACAATGGACATTCCTTGATGAAACCTTACTTTCCCTCTCCATCGACATGTTAGTCTCCGAATTCCTCATACAAGACGCCATTTCGATCGTGCTCCTCAAAACCACTTAGGATGTGTCAGACGTTCAACGTTTCACTCTTCGAGCATCTAGCGCCCCTGACGCAACGACTCGAGGTATCTACGGTGTGGAGTTGCACTCAGCCCCAAGGCTGAAAGCGCGTTACTGGACTGGATTTCAGCAAACAGTCGCTTGGCGCTTGTGGTTGTCTGAATCACTTGAGATTAACGCAAATCGATGCGGTAAATGGGGTTTATTTGTCGGCATACGCCCCAACACACAGCAGTTCGGAGACTGAGAAAGACGAGTTTTAACAATGTGCCACGACTAATTTAGTCGGCAAGAAGGACGGATGTAGTAATCCTGGCGGGTGATATGAATGCCTAAGTTGGATGACTAAGTCTGGAAGAAGCACAATTAGGTGGTCCATTTGAAGTCGATGGTGTGCGTACGGATAATGGAGGGCAGCTTCTTCAGTTGTGTGCAGATCATCGTCTGATCCTGGCCAGTACAAACTTCCAACACAAATGTACACACCGATTTATTTGGAAGTCACCTACCACAAGACAGTCGTGAACACAATTGGACCACATGGCTCTCAGTTATGGACTGTCGTTACTTCTGGGGTACGCAACCTTGACTCTAATCACGTCATCGGGCGGACCCGCTTAGCACATCGCTTTCCGCCAGCACTACGCGTGCCGAAAGAGAGCAGCTCCGTTCAACTTCGACAAGTTTCAACAGCTGAAGAGTATGGAGCTGGTCTGGCTAGAAAATTACGGCAAACGCACAGTCATGTGGACGAAGAAAATTGCTTAGAGGATGAATGGAGGCGAGTTAAAGAAGCAATGCTCTTAGTTTTCAGAACTGTTTGTCCGTGCCATATGACTCGACTAAATGAACACTGGATATCATAGAGATCAACAGATTTTATGCTGCCAGAAAGTCAGCACCAGAAACTAGCGAATATGAAGACGCACAAAGGCCCTTCAAACGCCGGATAATCAGGAGCTCGAAGAATGACAGAGGACGCTGGGAGTTGGAGAGGGCTCTCGCTGCGGACAACAGTCGCTCCGTTTCAATAGATTCGATATTTGACAGTGTCTGGCGATCAAAGGTGTCCCTTTCAAATCTATATCCCTCATGAGGGCACTGTATGCGAACTCCCGTGGGCACGTACAAGTATAAGAGAAGTTCTCGCCTGAGTTCACCACATTCACTAGTGTAAGTCAAAGCTGTCCTCTTTTCAATTTTCCTCTTCAACTTTGCTATTGCTATGCTGCATGAAATTTTTCTGCCTGTCTCTGAAACCTCGAGGATCGAAATACTCCCGGGACGTCCGCTTACAGACAATGAATATGCAGGCGATACTGCTCCCCTTGGTTCAGATCCCTCCCAAATACAGACGACTTTGGATAGCCGAAATATCTCTGCCGCGCGTTTCGGCATTCGTTTCCCACCTCCGAAGTGTAAAGTGCCGCTACAAGACTGGGTTGAATCAAATCCACACCTCGTTCTTGCGTACGGCCTAATCGACGTGGTAAATAAATTTGTTTACCTGAGCAGCTGTATACGTCCCGGTAGACAAGCTAGAAATAAGATGATTTGTCGAATCGGAAAGACCAGGGAAGCCTTTCTAACCTCGAGGACTTATGGCGCCCAAATGACGCGAGTTTGTCAGACAAGGGAAGATTTACAATGCGGCGGTGTGATGTATACTGTTTCATGGATCCGAAACGTGGCCCCTACGCACAGAGTACATACGGAAGATGTCTGTTTGATCATCGGTGTCTCCGAAGCTTTGGTCGGGTCTGGTAGGAACCGTCTGGCGGATGGTCGTGGGTTAGTACAAGTACTCTCTGCATGCTAGAAAACCGTCTGCCTCGAAGAGCTCCTTTCGCTCAGCCCCGTGCTGAGTAGAAGCGATCGAGAGGTGGACAGGGTGACTTGGATACGAATTATGAAAACACAAACCAGTAAACGTAGTCGGGTCGGCAGCTGCCGACTCCCTGGATGGGGACCCCGGGACACAGCTCA